ATAACATTTTCTGCCCAACCCATCACCCATCCCGTTTCCCCTTCTCCTTCAGTTTTTTGCGTTTCGCAATTTATTGTGTTACATATATTATTATTGTGTACTGAAAAATGCATTTTTCATGACATAACAACGACCCGCTTGGCATTGGCAGCCCGAATTGGGTACAAACCCCCATCGACCATCCTCCCGGCAATGGGCAAAGTTTTTGGGTTGAAAAATGGCTCTTGGCCCGGGTTCCGGGATTCTGGGCGGTCGTCTCTTCCCCCATCATGCGTATAAATTGTTTGCGACAGTAATTGGAACACAATGTTAAAGCATGAAATTTTAATTTGATTTTCGATCAAGCCCTTGCCAGTTCGTTCAGGCTTGCCCGCAGATAAAAAGTTACCCCACATCGAAGTTTGTAGTGAGTCAGGTCGTTAAGGGAAGTTGTTATGATTGAATGGATAAATATGAAGGAAGATGTTTGGTTATCATCAAGGGGTTTATCGGCTGGCTTGACTATATATTGAAAATTTATAACAACTTAAATGGGATTTTTTTTTCATAGCTCAATTATTTATTGAGTGTTTACAAGGCAGTTAGTAGTTGCCATTCTTTACTTAACAAGGTAAACTTGGTTTAAAGACTCGTTTATGAGAAGTTTTATATATGAACCTTAAAGTTGTGCAACTTTTTGAACTGTTTAACATATTGAAGTCACTATTTAATCTTTAATTTCTTTACTTTTAACTTAACTTGAAGTTAAAACCCAAATCCATATCACATACACTTTGCCCATTGAAAACTGACAAACCTTCTTCAATAACTCGTCAATTTTCTTTGAACTTTTCCATTTCCCATTATCTTTGTATGTTATTTCTAGGTAAACTTGTCTGCAACTAGTTGTTGACTTCAATTTACCCGCTTGATTGTTTTTTGACGCTTCTCTGGCTTCCATCGGCGGATGGCCTTCTCGGCCATATGCCATCGCCTGAATGGTGCTTCCATGTCATGCTCCTCCCCACTACACTCCACTCCACTCCACTCCGGCGTAATCGAATGACATTCTTCGAAGACACAGAGTCTACCAGTTTCCAGGTAACCCACATGGCAACATGCCAGTTGCCTGCTAGCCATTGTCTTCAGTTGGCCTGTCTGTCGATTTTGACTTGGCATTCAGCTTTGTTCTGGCCTAGTCGATAGAGAACTTAAAGCTGCTCTTAAGTTTTACAAATTTTCCATGCCTTAAGCCCATTAATTATAAATCCCTTTTCGGAAAAAAAGAGAGCAGATAAGCCGCTTGGTATTATCAATCAATTGTTTAGAATTTATCGATTACACATGTGAAAAGTTTTTGGAAAAATTCGATTAAAATTCTGAAAGGAAAATTCGAAATTCGCATCATTAATTTTTTGCCAGCCAGAATTTATCGCCTATGATTATGAAGGAGGAACAAAACAGAAGCAAAAAGAAACGTATAAAGGACAAAAGGGAAACATGGGAAAACCCATTTCTAACTTTGTTTCTCTTTTTCGGGAAAAAGGGGGGCTCGTTTTTCGCCTACCAATCATTATTCAATATGTTGACTTTTGTGCTTTCCACATTTGTTTCGCTCCAAGCCACATAAGTCATGTTGTCGGTGGAAAGGCAAGGAAAATAGGATGGGGTATATGGGGAAGGGCATGCAAAAGACAAAGAAAAATTTGTTCAAGTGGTTCGAGAAGGGAAAGCGCAGCGCGTCGATGTGGAAATTGTGATAGTGAAAGGAGGATGAAGGCAGGCTCCTCCTCGCCTTTTCTCGCCCGAAACAATGAACTGTGCGGCAACACTGTCGAAGTTGTTTAACTTTGCATTTGTCCTGATCCGGGTCCCTAACTCCTGCTCCCTAGCTCCTGCTCCTAGCGCCTGTCCCAGCTCTTGCCCTTGCCCTACACCACACCCCATTTCCCAGTGCCATTATCCTGAGCAGGGGCTTAGTGTAGCCTTTGATTAAGGCCACCTACAAGTGTCAGCTGGGCTGTGTATGAAAAGGATCCAGGTGTCGATTCTCAGGTGGGAAATCTAAAAAAAGAACTTTAACTGTGGCAATTTAAAGTTTATTTGACGGGAGGCTTTTAAACTTTTGCCTACTTTTTTGCGCAGCTCAAAAATAAATCAGCGTAAATCGGAATAATCTGCAATAATGGAATGCATTAGATACATTTGGTGTTTGCCCAGCGCAAATGCAATTAAAAGTTGCGAAATTAAAAGCAAATACAAGGACCGAAAAATTTAATTACGCATATTAATTCAGCGAATCGGCAGAATGAAAAATTAAGACTATTCCCCCGCCGCTCACTCTCACTCTCTCTCTCTCGCTCTCTGTCTTTCATCCTTATTTATTTTCAACTCAACCCGGAAAAATACCCAATACCCATCATGGCCTCTACCCACTGGCAATTCATTTGCCATCAATAAAGCCACCGCAGATGGATGGCAATGGCGAAAACACAGTTTTATTGTTTTTCACCCCGTCAATTATTATTTGGGGGGTGCCGGGGGAGGGCGTAAAACTTGTCAATGAAAATGATTTTTCAAGGAATGAAAAATAAAAATTTAAGCTACCCAAATGAACTTGCCAATGAGAATGGCTCGCTTCGGTTTTGGTTTTGTAAATTTAATTTGCGTTTGGCCAACTGGTTTCCGCCTGGCAGTCAGTCGCCTCTATTGCCTGATGTTTTGCGGTTAACCAAAAATGTTCGTCTGCAACACATTTGCAGTTTTACAAAGCTCAACGAAATGATTTCATCCGAATTTACCTCACCCCACATTTCCCCCGGGGCAGGCGTCTAACAATTTTCCCCGGGATCGTTTGCATTGTTGCGGTAAATTGGTAAAATTTACATACCATTGGCTTTTATTGTTTATGTATCGCTGCTATCATCATGAGCTCCCTCCTGCTGATGATGATGATGATAGCTTTAAAATTGTGGCGATTAAAATGTCAGCTCTCTCTTCTCCACTTACAGTTTTGCTTTTATTTTAATTGGTTTGCTCAACTCTCAAAATAACACTTATAATTGGCATTTTCTAATTATTTAACAGTTTATCAAAGCCTTGGGCTGGGCTCTTTTCGATTATTGATTTGTTCACTCAACGAATTGCTCATTCAGTGGGTCAGAAAAGCATCAAGAAAAGTAAGGAATTCAAGTTTGAAAGTTATTTTCATACTTACGCTCCATTACATTTAGTTAGCTTTCAGCTATTTGAAACTAATTTAATTATCATTAATGTAAGAATCAGATTTTAAGCTGCTTGGAAGTTCAAATTTGATTTCTGCACTTTTAAAGTAAAATCTTTGAACTTTCACAAGAACTTACTTTCGTTTTCTCACCCTCATCCCGGGCCATTTTAAACACCATAAACCAAAGAGCCACTCCACATTTTGACCATAAATAAGAGAGCGCACCGGCATTTAAGTATTTCGCTGGGGAAATGTGCGGAAAATGGTGAATGGAGAAGGTAGCCACTAGCGTTGGCCCTCGACAGCACCTGGCTTTTATGGTTTTACCCAGCATATGCGTGATTTATGTGACAATGGAAGGTCGAGGGACTTGCCTCGATGCATCTGCCACTTTTGTCCGATAAGTTGGCTCAAAAGCCGCCTTTCGGTCAACCTTCAAGCTATACTGTTAACATACAATCGTTGTGTAATAGTTTGTCACTGGGTTTTCCGTTGTTGTTGTTGGCCTGGCTATAATGACAGCTGTGCGACATGTCATGGGATACCAGAGAATGCCAGGATGCCACGAATACCAAGGATACGAGGGGCAGTTGGTGGGCGGTTTTGACTGGCCATATGCAGAGTCACATATTGATGATGTGCGTCAAATGTCGCTGCTGTTGCTGTCAATTTTGTGGGCAACAATGGCTGAGGGGATACCCCTTTTTCCGCTCAGCTTGTTTGTCAGTGTTTTCCCCAATGGCAGCGGTTGCTTCATTTATGTTGCTCAGAGGTCAACTGTTGTTGTTGTTGCTGTTGCTGCTGCTGCTGCTGCTGCTGTGCTCTTATTGCTGATTTTACTGGCGATGTTGCTGCTGCTATTGGTGCTGCAGCATCTATTGTAGCAGCTGATGTTGCTGCTGCAGCTTGTTTGACAAATTGATCGCGTGATATGTTTGCCCAATGCTGTCATTGTTGTGCCATAGTGGCCGCATAGTTGTTGCACCCACTGTTTGCTGCCGCACAAGCATATTCGCTGTTTTGCATTAGTTTACACTGTATACAGTGGTCTCTGTATAGGCTACAACCCCATTCTACATGCATTTGGTACACGAAATTGCTTTCGATGTAAATCGAAACCTTTGTGACCGGCAAATAGCCAAAGCCGAGATGTAACAACTTCAAATTGGTAAGCCCATGTTGGACAACTTTGTAACGGACTTTTGATTGGTCTCAGGTTTTCTCCAGTTGGCCATCTCCTCTCTCTCTTTACTGCTTTCTAGTCCTTTGCCAGATTTCACATATGCATAATCGAGGCCCGCTCGTCACTCGTCAGTTATGAGTGGGGGGGCAGTCGTCCTGGGAGTCCTGGCAACGTCAATTCGTTAACAGCTCCGTCAGCTTTGCTGCTAATTTTGTTTGCCTTGTGTCGCTACCCGAAAAACCCGGGCATCCAGTCACACAGTGCTGGTGGAAAGTATGTGCACGCTTTGTGGAGTCCGAGTGGTGCCACTCCCCCATCCCCCATCCCCCATCACTCGTTGATGTCGTCTCTCTCTTTGTTTGCCCTGCACTCCAAACACTGCAGACAGAATGCTGTCGAAAATGTTGCCGCCTGATGTCTCTATTCTGTGTCTCTCACATCCCAGTTAATCCGCCTAACGTTATGCAACAAAGTTTTTGTGGAAAATTAATTAATTTCATGTGCAAACAGTTGTTAGATTTTCCATTTTTACCTCTTACCTCACCTACTACTGTTTAATTGGCTTAAAACATTTTTCCTACTCTCCATACTAATTAAATCTCCGCTTTGCAGATTCCTCGACAAATAGTACACATGTGCCAATCTGAAAGCTGAGCTGAACGGTTTCGGACGGTTAGAAAAGAAGAAAACACGTCGAACAGGAAAATCCATACCAACGAATTCGTGGATAAGTGATGAAGTCATGAGACCGACATTCGATCGACGCCTCTGGATATTATTGTTCATTATTTCAGTACAATGTAAGTAGCCAACAATCAAACAAACAAAAAAACTATGCCAAAATCTTCCCTCCACACATATGTTTTTTATGTCTCTGTGTGTGTGAGTGTGTGTGTTCGGGCAGGATGTGAAAATGAATGAGCCAAGTGGCCTCAGCAGGCCAAGAAGCTCGTATATATCGTTGGGGCAAAAGAGAATGGACCACTTTGTATGCCGGCAACGTGTGAAAAATAGTTCACAGATAATCGCAGTCAGGCAGGTCACATTATTTATGCGCCAGCACACCAGCCCAAAGTCTCATCCCCTTCCCCACATCCACCATATCCACATCCTTGGTAATCCGCTTCTCATCCCCCTTATCAGCTTGATATTCTATGCCACATGCAGCAAACAAAGCCATTTCTTTTATTTGATGTGCGTTTTTGGGTGGCCAGAAATGGAAGAAACGTAGCTGAAGCCGAAGAAAGCTGACCCTGGGCGTTTTCTGGTTTTTCTGGCATCATATCATGGGTCCCAGAAACAGGTCCTGCATATCAATGGCAATGGTCGGTAAATAAGCGAAAATCATATCCCCTCTCTTTTCGGTTATTTCGCTCTCTAATGCAATGAGTAATATGCCATTGTCAATGTCTATTAGGTCCATGCGGCGTATGAGTAATATGCGACATTGTGATTTATTTTCCATTGGACTGAACTTATTTTTTGGCTAAACGGGATTCTCTTTTACTGCCAAAATCACGCATTTTCTCTCTAATTATTGTCATTTACAGTGGCCATGTGGCGTATGAGTAATATTGCCGGTTGGGGAAACTCATATTTGGCTTTGGAAAAATACGAAATTTTGGAAACAGAATTTCTCTTCGTTAAATATTCTAGTTCAACTTAATGAAGAGGTTATCTGACAGGCTATTTTTATATGAAAATGATTTTGGCAAAAGGATAAAACTGTTTCGTATTCAACGATCAAAAGTTCATTTCTTCCTTTAAACACTTTTAACCATGCTGCGTATGAGCAATATTTGATTTCAGCCAGCGACATTTAGAAGTCTAATCAAATCGAGAGGAAATCCCCTTAAAATCCCTAACAAGCTGTAGCATTCGATACAAATTTTATTGAGTTTATTCCCAAACGTTCACAACTTCATTCAGCGCGGGGGTCACTTCAAGGTTGCAATCAGTACTGCAAACAGAGAGACAGAGCAAAAACCGAACTGAAGTGGAAATTCAAGCACTCCCCCGTTGGAAAAGCGAAGAAAATGCCCGGCATTTTACCCAACAGTTCACACAAACACACACACACACACGCACACACACAGAAATGCAGACGTAGTGAACGGAAACGGAAATGCGCGTTCAAGAATTTTAATCTGCATGCGCAATTTCGCGTGTGAGCTGTATGCCAAAAATGGCGCGCACATGTCGGCCAACTGGCGACTGTGGCAGGACCACCCACCCCACCACACACCATACCAATCCAGGCAACATGCCCCAATGTGGTGCGCCTTGGAATTTCACGCGTTTATTTGCAAAGATTACGAAATGCGACCGGTTGCCGCTAAAGTTTTGTATGCGCTTCCTGCTGCCGGCGGTGCCTTTTCCTTCTTGTCTGGTTGTGTGCGTGGCTTTTCCTGCACTCCCCTCCACTCTGCCCCTTGCCATCTTTTAGCCATTTCTTTTTTTTTGCTCTGTTTGCTTGTCCGTCCGTCCGCTTCGCTGACTTGTTATGCATGCAAAAGTCTGTGGCAAATACACAGACCCTGGCTACAAACAGCCTTCCCATGCCCCTTTTTGCAATCCTCGGCAGATGGGAGTGACATGCAAAATATTTTTGCATAAAAATGTTTGCCCACCAACACGGATCGGAGTCCTTGCCGCATCAGCCTGGCAGCTGCATCTTACCCGCACTTTGATGTGAGCGTCGGGTAGAAATGTTAAATTTTAAAGCATTTCAATTTCGCATTTTTGACACACGCAAGTTGAGCATGAACATTTTTGCCAAGATACACTGGATATACTATCGTTCTTTTTTGGCATTTTACCTTGGATACCAATGCTTTGAACTCTCTATACCTCTTCGCCCTCCGCCCCCGAGGGACTTAATGTCCGGCATTTTATCTCATGTATTTAAGCGTACTGCGTTTGCTACGTGCTGGCCATGCTAAAAGGACCCTCGACTCCTTTTTGCCATTGCGAATACGAGGCGACAGCGGCGATGGAGCATATTTCATATTTAATAAAGTGGGTCGCATTTTATTAGTGCGTGGTGTTTGATGGGAGATAGGGGGTGGAGGGGGCGGCGTTGATGAAATCAGATGATGATCTGCCACATTCCGTGGATTATTGACCTGTTTCATGGGCACTTGTAGGTTATTAGTCATGTCCCATGTTGTTTTATGGCATTTTTTATTATATTATTACGTTGGGGGTTCCCTTACACAGAGACTCTACTCTCCAGGCAGTTAAATATTTACTAGCAGAGTTGTTACAGAAAGCTCTTCAAACTTAATACCAGTACTAAAATTAAAACCACTGACTAATAAAATACATTGTTTGCCGTTGAGATATGTATGGAAAATTGTGATATTGTTGTATGGAAGTTGTAAAGCAAATTGCAGGTCTTAAAGTTAAATCGTTTTTAGAGCTTAAAACTTGGATTATATTAACTATAGAAATATGGAAAAGTATTTTCACTTTAAAGTTGACATAATTTAGGGCCTCCTTCTCATTAAACGCAGCCCGTTAAGTAACCCAGATTTACTTAGAACTTATCCTTGGAGATGACTGCGATTGTTTTTCTTAGCCGCTTAAATTTCTGGATCTACTGATTTTCCAAGAGCACCGACCGCAAGCCATATTTCTTGGCTCACAAAAATAGAGGGAGAGACGAGGAAGGAAGAGGAGCAGTTGCTCTTGAGTCTCTCGAAACTGCGGCACTGATGATGTCGATGGGTGTGGTGGGTTGGTGGGGGGGGTTGTGGTACGAAGGCTGCCAAGTCGGCGACTTAGTTAGCCACTTTTCTTTCATAGAAAATGCGCCTTTTGTGCCTCAAGTGGCGACCCCTCTCGTTTCTCCTCACGACTTTTGTCTATTCGCTAACCAACTCCAGAGACGCCTCCATATCCTGCCTCCTGCTTCTCCTGCTCCTGCTCCTGCTTCCTCCGTCGATCCCTTGGCGATCCGATGGAAAGAAAAATAGAGCTGGCTGCAAGTTTATTTTAAAACTCGACTTTTGTACGCTCAAGTTTACTTTTGTGGGGAATTACTTTTCGGTTATTTTTGTGGCCCAGTCATCGCCTGTTCTCCCCCGGCTGGGTGAGTATCTCTCTTAGCTGATTGTCTTGTTGCTCGGGTGTCGATGCACAAGATGCAGCAGTTGGGTGCAGCTTTTTGGATGGCCTTGCCAGTGTGGTCAGCGTTAGGCGGTGGGCTGTTCGAGTTTATTATGTGCCCCAGTCGATGCTGCTCTTCTTGCGCAAAATGCAATTATTAAAAGTTTTTCAAGTTGTCCGCTCCTTATGCATTTATTTTTCCCTTTTCTTCAACGCTTTTGTCGTGCTCTGAAAATTATAGCCGGCGCCATTTTGCTGTCTATGGTTCTCGTCTTAACCTTCTACGCTGTCATCTTGTGTTTTCTTCTTTTATTTTTTTTTGGTTTGCGCTGTTTAACATGGCATAGCAAATGTAGTCCATTGAAAAGTTTTGCGCGTAAAGTTTTGCCTGAAAAGTTTCGTTTTTTTGTGTGTTAAAGACGTGAGTTAAGAAATGTAGCAAGCGCAGCTCTTAAAGACTTGTTGTTTTTAGCCGGAAACGGGGCACGGACGTTGTATCGCGGAATGAGAGGCCAAAAATACCAGAAAAGCGGAAACACAGCTAACAATAAGAGCCGCAAAGGGCAGAAAACGCGAACTTCCGTTTAAAATTTCCTAACATTTCAAGCTCACCCTGTTGACCCCGGGGAAAGCCCCTACCCCACCATCCCCAAAAAAAAAAAAAAAAACCATCGTGTGGTCAACACGTAACAGACGCTTCTGGGCTTCCTCTTCCTGTCCAGACCAACCGACCGACCGACCGACCAAAATTGGCCGCACACTAAATTGCACACCTGAGAATTAATGCGCCGGCCACTCGAAAGGCGTTTTCCGAAGCTTGAGCGGCGGCAGTGGAAATGGTTGGATGGTAAAATGGGAAATGGAAAATGGGAGCAGCAACAGCGGCAGCCAAAGCAGCAGTTCAACAAAAGGTGTGAAGGCCGAAAGCGTTGCAACCTGCAGTCGTAGACAAATGCAAAGTCAAATGCTTTTCACAGACAGACGGGAAGCCCGTCTAAAGTTGTTTCCAGTTGTTGGCTAATGCCTGCGGGCCTTGTCTTCTTTTGGGCCAAAAACCGGACAGTGGGTATGCAAAGTTTGGCTACTATTCAGTGTAGGTTACAAGGGAGAGTTTATAAAGTTTATAGGAGAGAAGATGCAGAGGGAAATCATAACTCAAATTGGTTTATATCAATGTGAGTTTTAGTAAATTTTAACTTTTGCTTAGATCACTGAAAATGACCGTTCTACATAAGTGATATGTAGTAAACTTATAAATTACAGGATAATAATTAGTATTATAAAAGAAAAACTGAAAAAAATACGAGAGAAACCAATTAATGCCCATCTCGAATCAATATTTCGTTTACTTTTCCCTGCAGAGCTATCTTCTTGGGCATATCTCATATAAATGAAATATATATCACCTTTTTTTTTTAAGCTCTGGATGTGTGCAGACTTTATTGACCAACTGTATAATGTACAATTCCCTCTGCTTTTCGACTTCTTTCGTTTTCCGAGGCTCAGACAAAGTTGCTGTCCCATCCGCTCGGCTTTTCTTTGGCTCGCCCTTTGCTGGTAAAAGCAAGTGAAAATAAATTAAGTGGAAGTAAGTCGTAACGAAGTGATACATAATTCTTTGTACTTTTCTCTCCTTTTTTTGGCTGGTCCTGCGTCCCTCCCTAGCTCCTTTTTGGCGCCGTTTTCTTTGTGTACTTTAACAATTGAGTGCAACTTTGGTGTGTGGCAAGAGAAAATCGAATCGCTTTAAGTTGGTTATTTTGCTGGGTTCACAGCTTCAAGACTGTTAATTAGCAGCACTATTAGCTAGTAGTAGTGAAATTCCTGAACAGTAAGAGAGAGAGAGGAGAAAGTTTGGTAAAAGTCGGTTGGCTTTTTCACCCCTCGTCCCAAAACGGTAACCTAATATACCGTAATTTGGCTTTAATGACCCAGTCGAGATGCCCGAAGAGGTCTTCACTTGGCGTCTAAATAGCCTAAATAACTTAATATCAACCTGAAACGCTGTGATTGAGAGGTGGCGCCCAACGAATTTCGGGCTACCTTTTCCAGCTTATTGCTACTTAACTAAGCCAACGATATCATTTTATTACACGGCTCTTGGCCAGGACTACCAACTTGCCAAGCCGGCGTTTTCACTTTCCACGGAGCGTGGCTTTAACAGGACATCCTCTCACCTTTCAGATGAGTCCCATCTCCCCCTTCCTCCATCTCCTTTTTTCCCGGAGGCCATTAACGTGTTTCGTTTCATTTAACTTTTACGCTCTGCTACCACCCGTTGTCCCCGGCCCAGAAGTCCTGCTATTTAGCACAGGTCCTCGGTTTTTCCCCCTCATCTCATCCCCGTGAGTTTTTGTCCGGGGAAAACGAAACTTTTACCTGCTGCATGCTTGACCCCACAAAGAACACCCAGAGTGGGCGGTGGAATGGGTGTGTTCAGCGTTAGATGTGACCTTCGGCGCTGACAGCAGCCGTCATTAACCTTTCATGACGAGGGAACCAGAGCCAAAGCCGAAGCGGTAGCGGGAGAGAGCATCGAGAACAATCAAGCGGAACAGGTGGGACCGCCGGAAGTTGACAACAACGAAAACGGCAAAAATCGGTGGCAACAACAACCAAAGTGAAACCGAAACTTTGTCGAGTGTTTTTGAGACAATGTTGTATGTAGTATGCCCCATGTACTACGAACTTTGACTGTTGCGGATTGTATGTTTTTCCTTTCCTTTTTTTTTGATTTTGGTTTTTTCTTCCAGCGAGGTAATTTAGCTTTAATGCGTCTGGCGTTGTGACAGTTTCTCCCCCGGATTCTGACCCAGTTTATGGGGCATGGTGCTTTTTGTTTAACTAACCACATGCCACGCCCACGCGACCGCAGTTGCATATAATTTGGCAACCGCAGTTTCTGGCTGCCTGCTTTGCATTTGGCATTTCGGTGGGTGAAATGTGTTTGCCAAACGAATTTGGGTTGTCGCAAATAGCCAAATTGGGGACACGGAAAAAAGTGCAGCACGGTTGCGAGGAGCCAAAGCAAATACTATATACTATGAACTCAAATATAGTGCACGTATATAGCTCCAAGGTCACCTATTGCAGATATACCAGATATATATGAGAAAATGCTTTAAAAAAGCTTTTATGCTGCCTGCATTGTAAAGCATCCGGCGGCTGCACTGAAAGAAAACTCTTTGCAAGAGTAAGAACTTAAGAAGTACTCTACGAAATCATAAATATCTTCATTCCTTTGATAATTTTGATTTAAAAGATGCATATTTCATAATTAACTACTGTGACCTAGTTCTTACCTCAAACTACAAAGAACTTAAAGAACTTTCTAAATCATCATTCCTTGAACAGAATTTTCTAATCAGGCTAATGGACTTAGCTAGCAGCCTAAATTTAACCCCAAGTCATACTAAAACTCTCAGTGCAATGTCCTGGCAAGATCCAAGGCCACACGGACTGCACTTAGCAACGCAATCGGATGCATTTCTTACGGAAAATCAATAACCATTGCAGCACACTGCCACGTGTGAAAGCAGCCCCCAACCTCGAATGCCTTTCAGCATTCAGCCAGGACAACTGTCGCTACATAATCATAATCGTAACCATGATGAAGCAGCGTCGGTGACGACAACTACGACAATGTCGACTGACTGCCCTCGAGTGTTTTATCCTTGACAAATCCTTGTGCAACAATCAGCAGCAGCAACAGTAGCAGCAACAGCAGAAGCAGCAACAGCCACAGCGCCGGAAAAAAGAACCTTGTGGAAATGTTACAAGAGCAACGGAGATGGGTAGCAGAATAGTTGACAATGGCAAATGCGCAGCAAAATGTCTAAATGAGGCCGAGACTGGAATGGGTCTCCGGCTCGCCGACTGAATGAGTAAACTCCACTCGTTAAGCTCCCATCGCCCATCGCCTATCGCCCACCTCTTACATTTAGAGCCTCCTAGTCACCTAGCCACCTACCGGATGGTAGCCGCAAATCGGGGGCTTGAAGACGATCTCCCTAACCACCAGAAGCCTTAGCATGATGGATGACAATAAACAAGACAAGCGGGCACAATTGTTTGCCGGCCCCACCAGCCGGCTCTTCATCATCATTGTCCCCTTACCAAGTCTGTACTTAGCGGGTCTGTTGGCATTTCCTCGACCAAACAATAGTGGTTTATCCGGCTGACGATGAAGCCAGTCTTAAATAGCTTTAATGCTTTAGCGTGGAAAAGCAACCAGACTTAAAGACTAACAGTAATTAGAAATGAATATTTAAAAAACTTCTGGAATCTAGATTTGGATACAAGAGAGTTGTATAACACTAGGTCTTTGGATCACCTTCTGCTCCTTAGCTCTATATCATTTCACCATTAAATTTTATTAAAGCTGAAAAGTGTAGAATTATAAAATATAACAGTATTTAACTCGCCTTGATCCTGGGACTCCATCTCTCACGTCTCCGTAAGCTTTCGCTTTTGGTTTCTTTGCTTTGCAATTTCCACCTATTTGTCCTACTTTTCTTCACAATCATCCTCTTTCACCTTTTTCCTAATCTCATTACATTTCTTCTTAAACTCTGCCAGTTCACAATCTCTTTTTCTCTCGGCTTCTTCGTTCTGTTTTTTTTTCTCAGCATCACATTTTTGTTTTGCCTTCGCTTCCTCGCATTTCTTTTTTAATGCCTCTTCTTCGCCTTTCTTTTTACGCTCCGCTTCTTCACGTTTCTTATTCTTATCTTCCTCGCATTTTTTCAAAGCCTTTGCTTCTCCACATTTCTCTTTAGCCGCGGCATCGTCTTCTTGGTATTTCTTTTTTGCAGCGTTTTCTTCACATTTCTTCTTTGCAGCTTCTTCTTCACATTTCTTCTTTGCTGCGTCTTCTTTACATTTCTTCTTTGCAGCTTCTTCTTCACATTTCTTTTTTGCTGCTGCTTCTTCACATTTCTTTTTTGCTGCTGCTTCTTCGCATTTCTTCTTGGCTGCCGCTTCCTCACATTTCTTCTTGGCTGCCGCTTCCTCACATTTCTTCTTGGCTGCCGCTTCCTCACATTTCTTCTTAGCTGCATCTTCCTCGCACTTTTTTTTGGCTGCAGCTTCATAACATTTACTCTTCGCTGGGTTTTCTCCACATTTCTTCTTGGTTGCTGGTTCTCCACATTTTTTCTTGGCTACCTTTACTCCACATTTGTTCTTAGCTGGCTTTTTTCCGCATTTCTTCTTGGCTGGCTTTGCTCCACATTTCTCTTTGGCCGCTGCTTTCTGACATTTCTTTTTAGCCGCTTCTTCTTCACACTTCTTTTTGGCCGCTTCTTCTTTACACTTCTTTTTGGCCGCTTCTTCTTCACACTTCTTTTTGGCCGCTTCTTCTTCACACTTCTTTTTGGCCTCTGCTTCTTCACATTTCTTCTTTGCCGCTGCTTCCTCGCACTTTTTCTTGCGCTCCGCTTCCTCGCACTTCTTTTGGCGTTCGGCTTCTTCACATTTCTTTTTGGCCTCTAATTCTTCACATTTCTTTTTCGCAGCTGCCTCTTCACACTTTTTAGCAAGCTTGGCTTCTTCTTTTTTCTTAAGCACAGCCGCTTCACGCTGCTTTTGGCATTTATCTTTTATTCCTTTGAGTGTACGCTTCAGCTCGGCTTGTTCTTTGGCCTTTTTCTTATCTTCCTTATTTAGAGCGCTAAACTCGTCGTCCTCGTCAGGCTTTTCGCAATCCATGGGCTTTCCCTCTTTTTTCTGCTTTTCCCTTTTCGCTGCTTCGGCCGCAGCAATCTCTGCAGCATACTTTTTCTGGCAGACCATCTTCTGGGCGTGAGCAGCACAGGCCTTCTTAATGCCAGACAACATGCACTTTACGAGAGAATCTACCGCTTCTGCGTTTCCTTCTGGCTTTGCGGTTCTTAATTCTTCGCAGAGTGCCTTGTACTGCTTTAGCTCACAGTCTTTCTTCTCGGAAGCCAGCATGCATTTGTGCTTCAACTCCTCAACGGCTTCGTCTAGTTTGTTTTTAGGAGATTCCTCTTCCCCAACTTCTTCAACCTCCGTCGCTTTGTTCTTCTGATCTTGTAGAAGTTTTCGCTTTCTTGATAACCTGGAATTTTTGGGGCACTTGGGAGGTTCTGTTTTTTCTAATGGCTCGAAAAAACAGTCCTCTTCCTCTTGCTTTTTACAATAGCATTTATCTTCATCAGGTTTTTTGCAAAACGATCGTTGTTGGTTAAGGTAGGTAAGGGTATCGGTAGAAGTACTCGAGCCAGTGGACTTAAGTTGCGAAAAATGTAGTAAGCAGCCATTGACTTTGTCCCAGAACAAAGAGACTCGGACTTTACGTCTTCCCCTAATAAGTACTGATCTCGAGAAGGATGAAGTTGGTTCCCCTTTGCTCTGGCAAGCTCTCTCTTCTGACTGATCCTCCATCATTTTTGATTTTTGTCTACTTATTAAACTCGCATTCAGTGGGTTTTCCTTGGTTTTACTTTTGAACACTTGTGGCTGTCCTAGGTAAACGGATACTGAATGCAAGTTAGTGTGGGATTTCAAAAACATCCGATTCCATCTTGGCTGCTTAAGGTGGTAAAGTAGAGATCGTGAGAGATGACGCCCCATCGACGTCATGGCTTAATACCAATTTTTTTTCGATTTTTAAGACATTCAATTTCGAAAAAATAGGCTTAGATTTTAAGTTAAAAGAAAAAGTTGCAGGGTTTTACTCATTTTTCTTAGACTACTTGAAGCAGACATTTTTAAAGAAACTTCGTTTTACAAAGGTAATTAAGTTGTAAATCTTTTTTATAGATAAATTGTGGAAAATCCAAAAATTATGTTTCTTCTAACCCTTAAGGGGGACAAAAGTTGCCTGGCCCAATTTCGCGCGAAAGTAGGCTGCGATTTTGAGTCTCTCGAGATATTTTCCACCTGCCTGCTGGCCGACATAATAAAGCAATTAAAGTTTTACACTCCGCAGACCCATTTCACATTTTCGCCCGCTCGCATCAACAATGAAAATGAGCATTTCCCCCAGTACACATGTGCGCAATTAAAATGTAAACGTGTCAAACACATGGCAGACTGCTCGGGCAGAGCTTTCGCTTAAAAATTAACAGCGACACTGCCGAACAAGTTGCAGAAATTAATGACAACATAAAGGAATTTAAATACGCAATGAGCTCGGTGAGGTAGATGGGTTGAGCTGGTTTGGGTTTTGGGCCTGGACTTGGGTTTGAGTTAGTGGGGAGGCATACTCGTAATTGCGGTGCAAGTTCGTATTGCCAGTGTGTGTGTGTGGCAGAAAGTTAAAGCACACTTATATGCGACAGTGTTGCCAAGGTAGGCCAACTCGAACTCACCTGTCTGCTGTTGTCTGCTTGGCGGCGCATGAAGTGAAAATTAATTTCTAAATGCGGGAAATTAACAAATTACAAACAACGCAATGAGGGGGTTGGCAGATGGCGGAAGTAGACATGCCATAATTCACCGCACAGCCCATCCACATCCATCCACACCTCACACCCACACCTACACACACACACACATATATAGAGGCTTCTTCTGTATAGACTGCAAAGTTCGCAGAGCAACTTCCTTATGGTGAGTGCTGGAAGGGGGGTTGGTAAGGGGTTCTCCTGCAAGGTGTTGTTGCAAGGTGAGGCACATTGTCTTGCTTTTCGCCTGGGGGACACATAGCTACTACCCCACACCTTTAAACGACCGCCCCGCATACTTCTGGCCGCACTTCAACTCAGAAACACTGACAGTTGACAGGTTTGCTAATTTGAAGCAGTCCCCCGAAAATGAAGTTAGCGTCTGTCAGCGTCTTCTTTGGTGTGATAACGGCATTTCCACCCACTCACCGGAAAAGCCCATGCCCCCGTCCCATACCTATCAACCCCTTCGTATTCACACCTTTGGCAGCCACAGACGCGCTGCGGTCGCGCTTTTAACATTTAATTAAGTTGTGCTCGATTTTATGTTCGACAAAAGTGTTTGCCTGCCGTTGGCTCTCTCTTTTTCGATGGGTTTTGTGTGTGTGTGTGTGTGAGTGGGTGGGGTCTGTGTGTGTTTGTGTATGTAACTATGTCGTGGTTGTGGCTCTGTTGCGTTGTTGTCATTTCTGAGGTTTGTGCAAAGATTGGAAAATTGTTGACGCCGGCAAGACGAGCTTTTCAATTGTAACCTTTTCGAAGCACCTCCCACCACCCTTGCGTTCGCAGCACAACCACTTAGGAAACGAGGCCACAATAGTTCAAATTTGGTAACTAACTGCAATAAATATTTAAACAATGGTAGAAATCAATCATGGGAATAGGGAAAGTCCCATTTAAATAGATGAAGTGTTAGGAAAGGTTTGGGTCACCACTTAAAAGCAACTTTACCAAAAATGTTTTAAACATAAAAAATAAACTTAATGACCGAAATTGTTATCATAATCCTTAATGGTAACAGATTATCATCCCAACACAGTAGACTTTTCATGGATAGGCATTCAGAAAGTAAAGAAGGTGAAGTAAAGAAAATGTAATTTTACTTCCAGACGTAGAGCATAAGCATATTATTCAAAATTCAAAACTCGGTCTTCATTTTTTGTTTTTTTTAATACTGTACAAGGGGGCGAGGTACTGGGAATTAAATATGTCCTCCAGATTTACCGGCTGCCTTCTTGCACGGCTGTCCAGACATACAACGCGTGGACCCGTGATCATACCTTACAGATACCAGCTGCGCTGCTACGGCGATCCACCACCGCTAATGGAGTGCAAGGCTTTCAAGGAAGCGAAGGAGAAGAAAGCACTTGAGGTGAAAAAGAAGAAGGCAGCCGAGAAGAAGGAGGCGGCTAGGAAAGATGCGGAACGGCTAAGATGTATGTTGAAAATCTGCATCGAAAAAAAGACGGAGGCAATAAACGCAAAAATGGAATGCATGACAGCGGAGGAGCAGAAGGCCATGAAGGAGATGATGGAGTGCGTGATGACTGGTGTTAGGAAGATCTGCTTGAAGTCAGTGATGCAGAAGTACTGCAAGGAGCAGGAGCTGAAGCACCGCTACGAGCGAATGATCAAGGAGAAGAAGATAAAGCAGTTGATGAAGCAATGTCCTGCTACGAAAGGGGAAAGCACGAAGGAGGATTGCGAGGAACCTAATAAAGAGCAAAAAAAAGAGGCTATCGCAAAGATAAATCAAGAATCAGAAACGCTTAAGAAATGCATAGAAGAAACCACAAAGCTTTTAGAAGCTGAGTTAGAAAAGCAGATGCAATCTCAGTGCAAGAAGGATTGTGAAGAGGATAAAAATCAAGATAATGCTCCCAAAGAAGATTGTGCCAAGAAAGAGGTTAAAGAATGTGCACAAAAGAAGGAAACTCCCAAAGCAAAACCCAACAAGGAAAAGGAACCAAAAATAGATAGTTGTAAGGATGTGCAGAAAAAGCCTAAAGAGGAAGAAAAATGTGCAGAAGACTTGAAGGAATCCGCCGCTAAGGAGAAAAAAGAACAGCCTAAAGAGCCGAAATGCCCGGAGAATCCCAAGAAGTCAAAGGAACAGAAATGTCCAGAAGTGCCGAAAAAAGAGGAGAAATGCGCCGACAAGAATAAAGAAACAGGCAAGAAGGCAAAGAAAGAACAGCCTAAAGATCAGGAAAGCCCAAAGGATTCCAAAAAGGCCAAAGAGCAGAAAGCGACTAAGGGAGAAGTAGATTCGAAAGCTAAGAGCAATAAAGTGGAGAAGAAAGATAAAAACAAAGAACAGGAAAAAGAAAAAGGAAAGCAGCCGGTGTGTTCCACGGACGGTAAGAAATCTAAAAAGCCTCCGAAACCCAAAACTCCGTTTGAACAGAAGCTAGAGGAGTGCGTGAAGAAAGAGTGGGACGACTTATGTCAGACTCAAAAGCGTTTAAGTCCGCAAGAACAGAAACAAATTTCTGACGTCGAGAATTGCCTTAAGGCGGAAATCAAGAAGAGGTGCGGTAAAACGGTAATAAAGAAAATGTGTGCTGAGTCCTTTGGGGAGCCAAAGAAGAAGAACAAGTGCGAGGAGAAGAACAAAGAAGAGTGTAAGGGTCAGAAGCGAGCAGAGTCCAGCGGTAAAGGAAAGCTCGAAAAATGCGTTCAGCTGAAATGGAAGAAATCCTGCCCTTTAATTCAAAAGCTTGCCGAAAAGAATGAAGTTGATTTCCTCGAAGCTTCTAAGGAAGCCAAAAAAATGATTGCGAAATCTTGCCAAGACGAAGAAAAGGATAAAGAAACTGAAAATGAAGAGCTGAAAGCTAATCTCGATAGATGTGCGTGCATGAAGAAATGTGCGGACGCGCGTCTTAAAAGGAAATGCGATGATTTGGCGAAACAGGAAAACTGTGAAAAAGATGCGCAACTGAAAAAATGTCTTAAGAAAACGTGCGAAGAACGAACCAAAAAACAGGACGATATAAAGAAAATTAACGAAGAGCTCAAGAAACTATGTCAAGAATTAGACATTGAAATATGCGACGAGGAAATAAAAAGAAAGTGCATAGAGAAAGCTCAAAAGGTGCTATGCGAGGCTAGGAAAAAACGAGCAGAGCAAAGGCAAAAAGAGGAACAGCTGAAGAAAAAAGCCAAAGAGGAAGCCGCCAGAAAGCAAAAACGCGAAGAAGATGAGCTGAAGAAAAAGAGAGAGATGGAGCTAGCCGAAAAAGAAAAATGCGGAGAGATCGATAAGGAGCAGAAATGCAAAATGATGGAACAACAGAAAAAATGCGAAGAGGAAGAGCAAAAGAAAAAGTGCTTAGAAGAAGAGAAGGCGAGAAAGTGCGAAGCGGAAGAGCAAAAGAAAAAGTGTCAGGCGGAAGAACTAAAGAGAAAGTGCGAAGATGACGAAATGAAAAAGAAATGCGATGAGGAGCTTCAAAAGATAAAATGCGAAAGGGAAGCCAAGAAGAAGAAACTGGACGAATTAGGTGAGAGACTGGGCAAGCTGCTGAAAGAAGAGAAAGAGCTGACCAAGAAACTAGAAGCGATGCAAAAAGAAGCAGAAGAAAAACAGAAACAAGAGGAAGAGGAACAAAAGAAGAGGGCAGAAGAGGACAAAGTTCTTAAGGCATGTGATGAATTTGAAAAAAATGAAAAGCTTGAAAAGGAAAAAGCTGATAAAAAGAAGACCTCGCCCGCTAAGTGCGATCCCGAATAGGAAAGCTCAAGAAAAAATGTAGATCAAGCAGACTTTCCGAAAATACTCAGAGCTTTTCCACAATGAAGGTGACAGTTAGTGTTCAGAATGCGGCGGCGGTCTCAAGATTGCTTATCCTCCAGTTGATGCACCACAAGCCGTTTGTCAAGATCGCATTCTGATTCCAGGTTCGAGGAAGAGGTAAAAGGTGACTGCACCAACTGGGCGATATTTCTTGCGAACGCCACCGGGGTCTTGGCCAACTTAAGCAACATCAATGGTATGTAGTCAGTGTCAACAAATGTCAATGGTGAGGCCGTCCATCAATCGCATCGCAGCATCATTGCCCTCCTGGCTTTCGGAACCCCAAAAAGAAAACTGTGACCCCAAAAAAAGCTGTCATGAATTTTATTTCACTTTGCTTAGTATTTTAAATAAAAATTCCCGTAACTGCCCCCACGTAAACGTTGACTTAGTTTTTATTAGGAACCATCTAAATTTCATTGGCAGCACTCTGAAGGACTCTTCCGCTGGATTCTTTCGAGGTCATTGGTATGTTTCGCAGATGCATAAGTTCTCAGTTGAACCGCCTGCTGGTCTGTTCTCGGCCCAGTCCCTACCTCAAGACCTGGACAAAGTTTAAGAGCAATGACTCTCACAGCAATCCTTCCAGCTGGCAGCCTTCGATTACCTCCTTCCAGTTTGAGCCTCCAATGTGCGGCGGCATTCTTACCACCGATCTTAGCAAACCCGGCCCATCACCTTCTATAAAACAGGTTCGTCAGAAGGTCTGCATTGTGGGCAGAGTTCGCAACTTGAAAGTCAGTGGTAACAGTCATCCTGGGAATGGCTTTCTTCTTAATCGCAAAGGTAGGCTGTACCACAAGGATACTAGCAGGGACCCTAGGGACTTCCATGGCCGCCCAAGGCCTCGGCCCGTAAATCAAAGATACAACAAGAAAATCAGCAAACGGCTAAATCAGCTGATGAGCGAAGGTGTTGACGGAACGCCAAGAACACATAGCAGAAGAGAAGAGATCCAAGTAATTAGGGAGTCTCCCAAATCCCGTTCTGATAGGTCATATCCAGATGACACTGAGGACACCGAGTACTACGAGTACCAGGATCCTGGAAATTCCATTCGAAATTTTATAACAATGCTCGTGTCAAAGGGAAAAAAAGTTAGACAACAGCTGGAGGAGGGCAAGCGGGCTGACCTAATGAAGTATCATCCCGGAATCATGGAAAAAATGCAGCGTTATCATTATAAATATAAAAAGCACAAGCGTATAAGGCCAAGGCCAAAAGTTCGAAAGACACAGTATAATGACAGGCCCATAGATTCCGCAGTTCTTGATGTTTTCAGAAGACCACAAAAAGAAGAAGTGATCATGCTAGGTGGAAAATCCAAAGTCACTTCAAATTCAAAATCAAGTGAAGAAGGAAGGACAAGTGGCTGCCAAGAAGAATCTGTCAAGGATAAAGAAATACCTACAAGTTCTTTGGAGATAATGAAGGCTCGTGAAGAGAAGCTAATATGTAAGGCCCAGGAGGAAACCAACGGTCGTCTGCAGTCTCTGAAGAAAACTACATCCATTGAGATCAAACCTCCTGAAAATATGAACAGTGATAAAGTACAACCAAAAGTTAGTCAGAGTCAACAGAAAACTAATGATCAACAGACCCCCTTTTCTTCTTCAGGACAAGAAATAAAAAACAAGAAGATCGACGGAAATCTACAAAAGTCTTGTGATTGTTATAATAAATTTAAACTAGAACTGGTTGATCCATATTCAGAATATTGTAACTCAGATCAGAAGAAACCAGGCAGATTCTATGACATCTTTAAGAACAAGAACCACAAACATCTTTGGGAACATACTGAATATAAACCTGGAAGTCAAAAAAGTCCCAATTACGAATCCTGTGATAAGCCAACAGGTGAACTAAAACAAATCCATGTAGTCGAGTGTATACCAAATATTAAACTACTTAATTTACGTTCAGATTCTTCGAGTTTGGATGATCAATCTTGCAACGAAAGCCTGCACGACTTGTTTAAGGACCAGGTTCATCAGAATCTTTGGGAACTCGATGATAATGATAGGAATAAGGGTTCTACAAAAGATGACTACTGTAAATGCTTTCAAATGTTAGATGAAAAAGATAAGGTGAAGTTTCGAATTGCGGAATTGATGGCCAAATGTATGTTCCTAGTAGAAAAGAAAATAGAAGCGGAAGATGGAGAATCTTGCAATGGGAAAGAGTTTGATAAGGACGAGAATGCATCCAAATTGGTGAAAAATTTCTGGAAGCATTACATGCAGTGCCGCAAGAGTCAAGGAAATGATGTTTGTAGAAGGTCAAAATCAAGCATTACAAACTTGGAAAGTACGGACCATTGCATTATGGAGCATGTTGATGTCATTGTTAAGCAGTGCGAACGCATAAAGCAAGCAATAGAAAGTCGTTCCCTGAAGAAGAAGTGCACTAAAGAAAGCCTTAACAAAAGCATAAAAGATGAATTGAGAAAAGCTGAAGAAGAATTAGAGAAACAAGAGGGATGTGTCAATGATAAAACATCTGGAAAAGCGGAAAAATGCGATGAGGATCTTGTAGAGAAAATGAAACGTGTAATAGAAGAGTTGCAAGAAAAGCTAGCAGAAGATGAAGGAAAGACGAAATGTGATCAAAGCTCAAAAGAATGTCTTTCCGAGTTAAAAAAGAAATGCTTAGAAATGGAATTAGAAGAAAAGTGTGAAGAAGAGAAATTAAGGGAGAAATGTGCTTTAGAAGAATTGAAGGACAAATGTTCTCAGGAATATGAAAGTAAAAACCAATCAGAAGAGGATTTACAAGAGAAATTTAAAAAGTTCAAAAAGAAATGTAAAGAACAAGAACTAAAGAAACATTGTGCCAAAGAGAAGCTAGAAGATAAATGTGCAGAAGAAGAATTAAAACAGAAATGCGCAGAAGAAGAACTAAAAGAAAAGTGTAAATTGGAAGAATTAAAAAAGAAATGTGCCTTTCAAAAATTCAAAGAGAAATGCGAGGAAGCGGAGCTTGAGGAAAGATGTGCCAGAGAAGAGGAGAGAAGAAAGTGCCAAGAACTCTCTCTGAGAAGAAGATGTGCAGAATTTAGCTTAAGAAAAAGATGTGAAAATTATGCAAAACAGATGAGAAAACCAAAAGATGATAAAACCAAAGATTCAGAAGACGAACTAAGGAAAAAGTGTGCTGAACTTGAACTCGGAAAAAAACGAGAAGAAGACGAACTTAAGAAGAAGAGTGCTGAAGAAAATGACAAGAAGCAAGATCCAGGTAAGAAAAACAAGAGCACCTTTGAAAAAATTAAGAAGAAGGTTGGCCTGACGGGAAAAAGCAAAAAGGATGATAAGCCTGTAGATAAGTTTGCCCTAATTAACCTAAGGAAATGGTATGATATCCTCGAAAGAAGGAAGAAATCAGCAGAAGAAGAAATCAGAAACTGGAGGGCGAGGAACGAATTGAAGAGACTGCGAAAGGAAAAAGAACTTATTAAGCAGCTGCAGGATCAAGGGAGAAAAGAGAACCCAGAAAGTAAGAACCGATTCGAGATCCAAGGGTTAGGTTTATTCCTGCGAACAGGCTTAGCCAGACCAAAGAGAGGATATCAGGAGTTGGATCAGTGTGATCCCATCCTGCAAAAGGGTAGCCGAGAAAGGTTCCCCAATCCGTGCCTGTGGCCTCTACTTCCACGATCTGCCTTTCTGTACAAACCAACTGCACCGCCAACTCCATTGCTGGAGAAGAGCTGCTGCCCTCGCGGACTGCTGCCCGAACTGAAAGCACTGACCATCAACGATACCCTTGGGGTGCTCTGGCTCAGTCGAATAACACCCTCTAATCCTTTCAGTAAACGGGGCTACAAAAGGGACGAACTACGAAAAGGTTCGTCCTTGTTGTGGCCCTTTGCTGCAATTATTAGAGGGAAATGCGATGATGAGTCTAGCCTAAAGATATAACCAGAACAAAGGTGCGATGAGTTCCGGATGATGTGCTACTGTCTGATGATGCCAATTAAAAGGAAAACATTTTCGAATTCCTATCCAAACTAACAATAGCCGAAATAAACAGAAAACCAACAATCTGAAAGTAAAGCTAGCTAAATCAAAACAGCATTTCATATTGAACTTTTACTTAGTAAATTAAATTCAAAGATATCTTATGAAGGGATATCTGGGAAAGAGCCTACAAATTGGAAATTGATACCGGTTTCCTAATATTGCCTCATGAATAAATATAAATGATTGCAGACACATACGATGTGCCGTGTATTTACTTAGGAGTATCTCTCGGCCATTCCTGCTAAAGCAAACAAACTGGACAGCTCACAATATTGATTGCTTTGTTGTTTTATTGATGAAATAATGAATTTGCCACCGCACCAGCCCCATACACCCCCCATTCACCCACCAGACATCAGATAATATGCTCAATGTCTGTCATTGCCTTGGTTATGAATTTTCCGACATGATAGCGAAACTTATCGGGCATCGAAGCAAAGCCAACCGGCTTGAGGTGACGGCCTTGTGTTTGATCAGTGGGTAGAGGAGGACATTGCTTATTTGGTTTTCATTTCGTATTGATTCACAGTTAGTCCTGGCCATTCTGGCCATGGCCAAAGCAAATTTGCAGACGCCATGTGACCCATCATCAACAGCCATCCGTTTAAATTATTAACGTATGAGTAATTTTTATGACATATAAACAAAAGTCTGAGCTGGTGGCTCATGGCTCACAGGATCCTTGTTGTTTTGGCCACTGCTCCGGCTATTCCTCCATCTACTTTTTTGCTATATGTCATGTGTCGTCTCTCGTCTCGTTTCGGGTTTTCCATTTCCCAGACGACCGAGTCCCATGCGGCGCTTCTCTGGGAGTGGTTTTTGTGTGCGACAAATGAGTTGTGTGTAATTAAGTTCGGGATGCTCACAGAACAGACTTTTAGTTGCCCGGGGAATTTGGGGACTAAAATGAAACCGATAATCTGACTCTGGTCCATCCTAGCTTAAGCATATTTTTACCTTTAGAACATTCCACGTTTTTCCAACTTTAATTAACACTTTTTTTGTATTTTTTTTTTTTTCTCTTTTTAGGTAAGTGCCTTCCAGCCTTTGCGTAAGTCCAAGAACCAAACTCAATCACTAATCATGGCAAAAAGAGCCGCCGCTGCCCACAGCCGCAAAACTTTCGGTCAAAGCCCCAGCCTTTAATTTGAAAACTTTGGCATATCCAAAAATAAAATATATATATATATATATATAGATATATATGTCCGAGAAAAGTCCACACAAAAACCAGGGACCAAACAATTCGAACTGCATTCCACGCAATGGACGGGCCAAAAATCAAAGCATATTTTCCGGCGTGCCCGACGCAACCGCTAGACTCCGTCCGGCAAACCCATTCCGGTCCGGCCGGCCACATAGTTTAAACAAACTTTTTTGTTTGAAAGCGTAGAACGTGCAGCGCGCCAAAAAAGAAAGAGAAAAAAAAAAAAATAATCATAAAAAAAGGCAGAATCCCACTATTACATTAAAACAGAAAAATAATTGCGAAAATTTCTCTCCAACTTTTTCAACTTTCTCTGCGTTTTGCTGGCACTTTTTTTTCGAGCCGCGCCTCTTGTTCTTTTTTTTTCTTTCTTTTTTTTGGTCTTTGAATGGCAGGCAAATTTCTGTTGCCATTTGCCATGCCTCAATGAGGGGGGTGGTGGGGAACTTTAAAACGCGCTGACGACGCTCATTACAACTAATAATGTTAATAATCATTAAAGAGAGGAATTTCAAAATATTTCGGGATTGCCAGCCGCAGGGGCATTGGGTTTTCAAGATTTCCCTTTTTCTGGCACTCAAATTGCAAAAATTAAAATACTTTTGCAAACTAATTAAAATTGTGTTGCATACTTTGGGGCAGAGTAGCAGTCAGTCATCCCTTTCATCCAGTTGCCTAAGCCTTTTCCCTCGACACAAGGAAATTAGCCTGGCCAAAACCCAAGACTTCGATGTTCGACTTGAGAATCGATTATTGTGGCTGGTTTAATGGGGCTTCTCAGCCCAGCGCAGAGTTGAAAACTTTTGCCATTTTTCTTTCTGTTTCCCTTGGGGATGATCGGGCAGCTCAATTGCAGCTTTCCGGGTCTTCAAATATCAACATAGCCCGGCTCTTAAAGATGCAGAAATTAAATTCCGTCCGTGAAAACCCAATTATCCTTCATCTGACAACGGGTTTTCACATCACTTGGCTGGCTCAAAAGTTACAGCATTTTCCCTGTGCCCACACAGCCGGGCGATGTCTCCGGCGGATTATGTGGGATATTCGTAGGCCCGCCAGGCTGTCACACTCGCAGGATGCATTAAATTTTATGGACGACGGAGGAGGGCCATAAGGAATGAGGGTGCCTGAGCTGGTAGCAAACATCAAACGCGTTAAGCAACTCGAAAGCTCAGCCGAGTGCATGAAATGCGTCGCTTGCCCCTCACTAGAACGCCATTCAACACGCCACGACTTTTGCAGCCAAAGCAAATCAAAAGGAAATAATGGCGCAGTGGCATGAAACGAGGGGGGGATATCGGGAAATCGGAGGAGATGACAGTTACACTGGGAGAAAGTCAAGGAAGTTTTAAGGATATTATTTAAATCATTTTATTTAAGGTTTTCTACTTTAAAGATTCAGAATCTTTAGATATTTCTTTTGGGAAATAAGAAAACAAAATCAGAGACATTTTCTCTCAGTGCACCATCCTCGCCCCCCATTACCACCCAAATACTCGCTGGGTAAATGGCGCGCACGAAGTGCTCACATGCACCTGCCAGAATGCATTCGTTGCGTATTCCCTGGCGGCTGGGATGAGATGGAGCCTCTGCTCCTGGATGGATCCTGGCTGCCTGCTGCCTGAATGCTGATGCCGATGCCGGCAATTAATTAGGATTATGTGTGTCGTCTGAGCAGCGCCTAAAAGCATGCAACACATGTGAGGCGCTCGTTACGGCGAAGGAGTGAGTGAGTTTTCCCCTACCACACCCCCACAACTTGCCGTAGAGAGTCTCCAGAACTATGGACCTTGTGCCCGTAACCGTAATGGAGCTGCAGCAGCTTGACTTCCGATGCGTGACATCTACATCTACCGGCTGGCTAAATAGTTTGATTAAGCAAATTTATGGCTGCGCGCTTTCAGGCGCATTTAATGGCGGCTGAAAGGAGCAAACAGAACCCAATCAATCATCAGAAACGCAGCTTGCACATTTTTAATGATGATGACGTCAACTGCTCATTAAAAGCCTTCCACTTCGCTGACTGTTTCTTTCCCTTACTCCCAGCTCCGCGTTTCTTTTCAGCATCATTTTCCCGGTGTCTCTGACCGCTCCTTTTGACCAAACCACCATCCTAACGACTTTTTAAGTATTTACACACAATTTGGCTCGGCCAACTTTTATCGCAAAGTCTGGGCAAACATTTCTATATTTCCCAGCTCACTTTTCTTTCAAGTTTACGCTTCATTATCTTGCAGTTGTCTGTTCTGGGGAGCAGTGCAAGTGGCAGTGGACATCAGCTTGAGGTTCTGATTACCCCCTTCACATGTCCTGCCCCACCGCCAACCGGTGCATTCATTTCACTCGAGAACGCTTCTGGTATGATAAGCCGCCTGTCTGCCCAAAAATTTCCATGTCTCACTCAGTTCAGTATCTTGTTCTGCAGCGCCTCAAGGTGTGTCACCTGCAACCTGACTGGCATTTCCTACTCCTCATCCAAAAGTTTTTTGCAGTTGACTTGAGTTCGCCTTCAGCGGCCTGTAGAATTTGTGTTTGCCTTGGTCAGGTTTGCCATCCTAAGGTGTTGCACTTTTTTTTTTTTTTGCTTTTCCTTTTTGAGGAGATAAAAAGTGCCCCCTTAATGTCTTGTTTTCGGACATCTCATCACACTCGAATTCACCTCTGAGGGCAAAGAAGAAACCTGTCTGATTGCTTACTTCGCAGGTTTTGCAGCTGCTTCAAAAAAAAAAAAGAAAACGAGGAAAACCCCTTGGAAAATGGCACGTGCCTGTCTATGCAAACAGCGCAGTATTTTTGCCGGAATGAAGAAATAGCTTTGGTCAAATCGACACTTGTCTCGGTTATATCCTCGCAGCTGCCCCTTCTTCTCGTTTGACATCAAAGTGAAAGTCACGCATTTACTTCTGTTTGCCATTTTGTCTGGCATTTCGTGTTTTTTTCTTTCCTTCTTTTCGTTGCATTTTGGTGGTAACTACAAAGCCGGGAAAGTCTGGCTCCATGACTTTTCCCCCCTTTCGTCTGGACTGTTGTCTGCCTCATTATGTTTTCCTCAATCCACACCCGGCCATTGCCATTGCCATTGCCATCATCGTCATCGTTTGTCGTGTTCGTCTTGGCAATATTTTTATGTAAACAAGCCAAATAGACAGCGCCAGACGAAATTGGCAAATCATCGGATAGACAACAACAACAGCAGCAGCAGGGCCAGACGGCGGCTGATGCTGAAGCTGATGCCCTAACGAACCGAGAGTCCTGCCTTCCTCCCTTTGGCTTTGAGCAATTATGATTAATTTTCCAGCACCCTTATGTCGGAATGCACTTGGAGAAAGAACATCTCTATTATATATCAATTAAATGTCAATCAAGACTACACTTTGTGGCTAACGAAAGGAACTTGTAATTTTAAATCCAATATAAGAAGAAGTTTTCCAACCTTTTGGTTGTTTTAACAACTTCGAATTAACTTTTAACTCATCACTCCCGAATACAGCAATCAAAAATAAATCACAAAATAATTGGTTTTTCCCTGTGTTAAGTCTAAAATATGTAAACATGGTTGTCTAGCAACTGATCGAATTTCATAGTAACCCCGACCTTGATGATTATTTGTGGGATAAGGAAACGGATGAGGATTTATGGGGCTTATGGAGCGCCCTTTTCTTCCGGTTTCTAAGATCCCATTTTGCATAAAACGCACATTAAATTTCGTTAGCTGGCTGACTGGCAGGCAGCCGTAAAGTGCGCTTTGTGTATTTTCATTCGGAGTTGGCAACGCCTTGGGTAAACACTCGATCGCAGGACTCAGATTCAGGGAGTCCTTGCTGGCATTTCCACTGGTGTCTCGGCTTTTGCTGCTCCGTTTGTTTATTTACGCACATGCGAAGGAGGGACTTATTTCATATTCATAGAAAAATTGCAAACACATGTGCTTGGCTGAAGGTCCTTGCTGGGTGGGGTATACATATATATATATATATATATCTTC